AGCCGTTACCTAAAGGTCGAAGTGGGGGTCAGCTCAAAACCTGACTCGACTCAGTCTGTCAGAACATAGAAGGGATTCTTGCACCTTCAGTATTCGGTCTCCGGCGCTGGCAAAGAGAATAGCTCGAACGGTGCAGGTCCGTTGCCACAGATCGTCGCGCGTGGAGAAGAATCGGACGCGACATCATCGAAGCCGGCTAGATCAGTCAGGATCGTAGCCGCAACAATTAGCTTAGTCAGGCCGGTGTGCGTTCACGTACCCTCATATCTAGGTGCCTCGTTCAACCAATTAATCCTGCTCCACAGGAGCAAGTGGAAGAATAAATGCGCTCAGATGTACCCTTAAAAGGCAATCAGTCGTAGAAAGGGAGATTTCGTGAAGAATACGCGTCAGTTCTTGCACTGCGCGCCACCCCCTTTTTATCTCTTAAATGTCATTTGCTTTCTCTTGTAGACAATCATCACTCTGTCCAAGGGACACTACAAGCCGTGCAATCAAGTTTACGAACTTTTTGTTTGCGCCAATCACATACTGCACATGCTTCATCGTGACGCTACTTTCACATTATACAAGGCCCTCGTTGTCCTGTCTGATCGTAAACAGTTAAAGTCTACTCAGGATGCTACACGGCACTCCAAGTAAGCGTTTTCACATATTTTATTTGGGCAACAGCTCATCCTACCCATCTTTGCTGCTTGAACAACCTTTATTTTGTTTTAGGCCAGAGTCTGAGCAGCCTTCAAAGAAGTCACGAACCACTGTGGAACAGCCAACTGAAGCCGCGCAGTCTACTTTTACACTACCGAGCTACATTAAGGGGATTGCTGGGTCTCCGGCAGCTCCCGTCTCGCAATCGAAGGTCATCGATCTGCCCCTGTTGTTTGCCTGCAAACTATTGGACTACTCAGACAAGGGCTCCTTTAGTATGTATAACATCGAGAGCATCATCAACTCTCTCTGTCTCCCCATTTCAAGATACCAGGTGAGTTTTTGTGCACTATTTGCTCACTTTGTGCCCTCGACCGTCTTCTACGTAGTCCATAGGTCTACTAGTCATTCCGGTCGTGTCCCCCACACCCAAACTAGCTTAACATTTTCAGCCTTTCATTCACTGAGCCTAGCAAACTAAATGCCGCCTGAGTTGGCTTTGAATTCAGAGCTGTTTTCACGCTTCATGTCGGACTATGTCAAAATGTTATGTTCTTGGGCTCGCTTTCCTGATAAGAAATTGCAGTAGTGTCCTGAAACTGCAGTTTTGTACATGTTTCGTAAAACTTGCGCTAAGGTGGTTACTGCCAATCTCATTTTCAACGAACTTTGATAAGCTATCTTCCTTTGTAGGTTCGGGCTTTGACCAGTAACGTCGCCACCAGCAGTAAATGCTTGTTTTACCGAACCCTTACTGATTATCCGGTGCCTAAGGAAGATCCCACTGCAACGAAATTAAGCCGAGCAGCTTCGAAGCGGCCCTACGATCCCGTAACTGAGGATCTCAGCGAACTCACTGGAACCCCACTTTCACTGATCGACGACGAGGAGTATTTGGAGGAACTTGTCCGTGGTGGAGATGCTATTCTGGACGAAGAGGAGGAGAGCCAGCTTCAATCAGTTCCTCCCGTGTAAGACTGTATTTGATGTATATATTTACTTCGGCCTTTAGGAATTGTGTAATTTTCAATTTTTGCTACTGACCTCTCTTCAGATATCCTAGTTACAAGTGATCTTAACAGTTTCCTCCATCTGCTA